ACAGTTAAAGATTGAGTTGTGAAGCTGCAGGTGAAACTCAGCAAGTGATAATTTACCAATTTATCGGACTTAAAAAAAAACTAATTGTTTTTTCTTAAGTCTTACTGTTCTTTTTAAACCTAACTAATGCATCACCTTGTCTTGTAGGGGTAAGTTGAGTAGCTTTGAAAAAAATAGAAAAAACTGAACTATCGAACACAAAGAAACAACTTTGATGAAAAATAATAGAGCGGCACATTATTTATATACATTTTTAAAATTAGTAATTTTTAAATCGGGCTTCAAAGTTCAAGGTAGTAGTATAAAATTATATTTTTATATTTTATATTTTTATATTTTATGTTAAAGTCGAATCAGAAAATGGTACCAAGTTTTGAGAAGAATTATTGATGTTATCATATCCTTAGGAAATTGTAGCCTTGCTTTTCAGGGAACTTTGCAACGCATTGGTGACTCAAATAATGGAGACTTTTTAGGTCTGATAAAGTTGCTTAATACGTTCTTAAAGTAGCTGAGTCACAAAAAAAGGCGAAAAACTCCAATTACTTTACCTCTCAAATGATTACCAAAATGAGTTATAGCAGAATGTTTCGATATTGTTAAGCAGCATGTTTTGAACTTTCGTAACGTTTTTGATTACAAAAACGTTACGAAAGTAATATTATTCCACTGGCTTATAGTAGGGCTCAAAGTTATAACAATGTGCCAAATATGTCACGCAAATACAATGGAGCGCAAGCTATAATAAAAGAACTAAGTCCTACTGCTATGTTTTTTCCTTGTGCCTGTCACACATTTAAATTGTGTGGTAATGATGCTGTTGAATATATTCCAGAAGTCATAATCTACTTCGGAACTATGCAAATGATATACACTTTACTAAGGTGTAGTCCGAATTATAAGCTTCTTGGTTGTTTTCTTCGACATATTCACGGCATTTCACAGCATATCTGGCCCCAGGTGGTCAGATCAAATCGAGAGTTTAAAACCATTTGGAACTCATCTTCCATGAGTAAAGCTGGCTTTTTTAGACTTGTACCAGCTAAATCTTACTCTAAGAACTAAAAACGAGATTCGTGTGTCACAGAATTTTAATTCCAATTGACATATGCAACAAAATCATTTAAGCCAGTTTCGCAACTTTACAGATGGAGGTTTTAATATAGAAAGCTTACTTTCATAATTAGTAGCGATTCGTGACAGCTGGGAAGCAATGTTGAATAAATCTAAGCATGTTGCATCTAACCTTGATATAGAAATGAAATTGTTTAAGAACGATAGCAGAAAACAATTTCACAATAAAAATGTGAGTAAAATGAGTGAGGTAGGCGAATCTCCCTTAAAATCCCAATAGCGAAAGCAAATTTTTTATGTAATAATGGATAATGTTTTTGTAGGACTTACAGTTCTTTTTAGCGCCGTAAAACCTCTTCAGAAACCTTTAGCTTTCTTTGGAACTACCAAAAAATGACAGAGGAGGAATTTGTACACAAAGCAGCTAGTTTTGTAAAGAAATTTAACCGTTGGTTTGGTTAACAAAACATTAGGACTGTCCATATGATGGTTTGTTGTAGATGACTTATATTTACTTTTTTATTTACTCAATTTAATTTTATCTATGTATCTTGTGCTTATTTATGTAAACATGATGTTTGAATTAAATACATTAAATATAATAAAATAAATAATTAAATTTTATGTCACAATTTAACTTATTTTACCATAGCTACCAGATACGGCATAAATGAGTTAAATTTGAAGTCTAATCTAAGAAAACTTATGATATTTTCCAAATTTTGCAAATTCGGCCAAACTTTTGCAAAAGTTTGGCCAAACCGATCGTTCGGTGCATCCCTAATATATATATATATATATATATATATATATATATATATATATATATATATATATATATATATATATATATATATATATATATATATATATATATATATATATATATATATATATATATATATATATATATATATATATATATATATATATTAACGAAGAAAAAAACAACTTTTTCTATGGTACTTTAAGCTTCATGCCTATACGGCAATCATCAGCCATTAAATACAAATTCAAAACAAAAAACCCGCTAAAAATTACAAAATACTGTGTAGTAGGATCTTAACGTCGCTTTGACACTCTAGATGGCAACCAAAGAAAAAACAAAATATCAGCTAATCTCCGGTGTCAAAAAAAGATAAAAGGAATTTATTTTAGTCTGCATTTTGAAATCAACTCATTTCGTTTATTTAATAAGTTATCACCTTTATATGTTAAAATGAGGAATTTTTCGAATAAGCAAAGATGGCAAATTTTTGACGAGGCGTTATAAGTATTGCAACGTTTTAAAATTTTCCACTTAATTAAGGGTGTAAACATTTTGTCTTTTATGTCTTGAATTTCTTTAGACAACTCGGTATCATTTTTATATTTGTTAATGTTAAAAGATTTTAGGTGGTTCGCATACCGAGATTTGAATGGAGTTTCACATAAGCCAAAATATACTTTTCCTTTGTAGTCAGGTTTATTTGACGACACAGTGGCTTGATAAACGATGTTTTTTGTCAAGCACTTATTTTTCATGGGACAGATGGATTTGTTGATACAATTGCATGTTTTTCCCTCATCTTTATCTTGGCTATATAATATCCTGTGGTTGTGCGAATTAATGATGGACTTGATATTTGACATACATGAGTAGCTTATTTTAATGGTATTTCGATTAAATATTTTACGAAGTTTGTGACCAACTGGAAAATGTAGGTCTACCAAGTTCAAAAAATAACTGCCTATTTTTGTTGCAACATTGGTACTGAAAGATGGGTTGAACCAGATTATGTTTTGCTTGTGATTCTTGAATTGGATCGGCTTTTTATTTGAATGGTAAGCGAATTTGCAGATAAAAAGTAAGCGTTTAAGTTAAGTATATCGCTCTATTTGAAATATCTTTTTAATGTTGAGCACTCTTTTTCGACTATGAGTTTTGTTTTATTTTTATAAGACAAAACAACCTTAAATATCAATATATATATATATATATATATATATATATATATATATATATATATATATATATATATATATATATATATATATATATATATATATATATATACAGTATTGGACATTAATAACAATCCATCAAGTTATTTTAGTATGAATATAAGTTTGAAGTTAAATATTTTATAAACTAGAAGTGATTTTTTTCCACGTTTTTTTAATTAAAATAAATCAAATATTCACAATTATAAGTTTATTATAAAATGATAAAAATTAAAAAAATTAAAAAATGAAATTAAAACAAGTGTTTATTTGTGTCAAAAAAAAAAGAAAAAAGGCCTAAATAAACAAACCACAAAAACAAAAACAAAAAACCTTAATAAAAAAATGCTTACAAAATATTTTAAAAAAAGAATTAATATTTAGTTGACAATCCTTTTGCTTTTAAGCATTCACTGATATATTTGGACATGGTGTTCACTTTTGGAACACTATTCAATAATTTTGTTACTAATTTTTTCTGGTCCAGATCTTTTATTTCAATTTTACCATAAATTTGGTTTATTCCAGACCACAAATTCTTTATGTAATTCAGATCTAAACTATTAGCAGGCCAAGAAATTTTAACGTTGTTTTCTTCAAACTATTGCTTGCAAATCTTAGCAGTATGGAGAATTAATTTGTTGGAAGATTCTGATGTTGGAAGATTTTGATTTAGAAAAATGTCAATAGAAGGCATTAAATAGTTATCCAAAAAGTCTAAATATCTTTGAGAATTAAGCCTTCCATCAAATAGTTTGAAACAACTGACACCTTGATAGTTCATGCAGGTCCAGATGCCTATACTACCATTACCATGTTTTGTTCTATACGTAGTACAGTTTGGGTCTATTTATTCATGTGGCTTTCTTCTCAGCATTACTTGGTTTTTTTTTAAATCAACATCAAAGTTTACTTCATTTCTGAATAGAACGTTGTGCTCATAGACCAAATATTTTGAGCTAAACAACAGTTTTGTTTTGTTTTCTTATGTTTCATTAATAAACGTGGTTTTTCGTCAGCAGATCGCCAAATGTAATTGTGTTTATGTAATACTCTAATTGTTTAAGCACTAGCAACATAAAATTACTGTTGACTTTGATTGTGTATAACCACTTTCTTCTTAAATTAAATCTGTGTTTATTCTGAACACCTGTTTTTTTTGTTGTTGTTGTTTTTATTACCCATTCTATTTTATGCAAAAAAAAACTTCAATATTTCATATTTATCTGTGGGTTTTCATTGCTCAGTCTAGTACAAGTACCACAGAGCACCTTCATCAAATATAACAATATTTTTTAAATGCTGACATCTTGTATGAGAGTATATATGTTTATCTAAAATTTTTGCTGGATTATAGTTACCAGCATCATCAGCTATAATATCGTAATTAAAAATTTCAAATTTTTCATTTTTTAAACGTCTTATACTCGTTTTGGACGTCTTTTAAACGTCTTTTGAATGTTTTGGACGTCTTTTGAACGTTTAAAAGACGTCTTTTTTTGGTTCGGTGCCCACTGGGTATAAAGGTTTGCTGTAGAACATTTGCTTGGTATGTTTGTATGATGTAATTATATACTTATAAATTCTAAAAATTATATTTATTGTATATATTATATAAATTTAATACTTTTAGAATGTTTTTTTATTTTTAACGTAAGTTGCATACATTATCGAAATATTTTTATGTGTTTTTGCAACATTAAAACCGATTAAAGCGGCTGTATAAATCATAGGCTCACTTGGTGTTTTATTTTACCCTACTTTCATCAACCATTCTCTCCACACATTCCTCCCCTCCCCTTCTCTATCAAGTTAAAGTTAAAAAAAAACCTTGTAACAAAACAGTACTTAAACGTTTTATAAGAAAATCTCGCTTGAGTGAACAGCTCAGTGAGTTAGTGCGAACTATTGCTTAGCAACAATCGTCATTGTAACGCCTCAAGTGTGCATTAAATTTATGCAAAAGAAACAAAATAAAAATAAACCTATTTGAGTACAAACTGACATATAAAGATAAAAAAGAGTCCACCATGAATGAAACATGACAACCTTTTTTAAATGGACTGCAATATTGTTTTTTATTTTTGTTATTTTTCTAAAGCAATCTTTTGCAAATATTTTGCAAAAAAATTTTAGAGGTAACTTTTTAATATTTTTAAATACTTTTTAATATGTATTTTCCTTTATTTTATGCAACCTGTTTATAGTTGATAGATAAAATAATTGCAAATAAATCTTTATACTACGGTAATTTAGATCGCTATGTCACGTGGTAAAAATATTTAATCACAATAGCTTTTGTTGGTTATAAAACCAACTTTTTTGTGAGTTCTTTAATTGAACATTCATTTATAATCGTTATTGTGTTCTTTTCTTTAACTTTTATTTGTACATTGTTTTTGTGTATTGTTCTTTTAAACAATCTTTGTACATTGTTTTTGTGTTCTTTTCTTAAACAACCACTTGTACATCGTTTTTGTATTTTTTTCAAAAACAACCATTTATACATCGTTTTAAAACAAATACTCAAGAGAATAGTTTTATAAAAAAAAATTCCGAGACTTGCAGAAGATCGACATGTCAAGAACCGCTCATTAAATATTCTATAAGAAAACTGTACAAATAAATTTTATTTAATGCATAAAAACTCTTAAAGATTAAAAATTAAACTTATCATTATCAATATATTAAAATTATAAAATTAGAATAAAACATTGTGATTTAAATTTGCTAATCAAACATGCAAACGATAAAATGCATATCTTTGATTTATATAAAAAGAACTATTGTTTGAACTATACCAGGCTCTACCGTACAACCATTATTTTTGTAAAAACTTTTTTTTTTATTGGAGCTAAAATTGTGATGAAACTATCTTATGTAGGTTTTTGTTAACTGTTGGAGAGCTTGGTTTTTGTGAATATTTAGCATAGTTGTTTAAATAATGACCATTTTTAATAATGCATTTCTTAAAAATAATTATTTTTAAGAAATGCATTATTAAAATATGGTGTAATGGTTAGAGTTCTGGCTTCAAAACCGGAGGTTCAGTGGCTCAAAACCAGATTAGGTCATATATGCATGATTGGTAATTAATGAGACATGAACTTTCTGGTTACATGCTATTAAAGTGGTGCTATGTGATAAGACCATTAGGACTTTTTGAAGCATATTTTTATTATTTATATTTTATTATATATATATATATATATATATATATATATAATATATATATATATATATATATATATATATATATATATATATATATATATATATATATATATATATATATATATATATATATATATACAGTGCTCGAAGTTAAGAAAAAGAAAGTAACGGAATGGTATTCGGTAAATAAAAAATACCTTCCCGCCTTATCATTGTTATATAGAGAGATTTATAAAAAGGTGACGGGATGGCATCCCGCCTTACTTTGAGCACTGTATATATATAATTTATAAAAATAGTAAAAAAAAAATTAAAAAACATGAATTAAAATCACGAGATAAATAGTTTTTAACTGCTGCGTCACCATAAGTTACCATACGTCCGCCTCTAAGGCAACAAGTTTGTACAATGCTATTTTTTTGGAAAATAGCTTTGCTAAAAGAAGAGTTAAGGATATTTGTTTTCGCAGTTTTTTAATGAGACAGTAAATTAGTAAATCCGGGGCACGTAAATTTCATTTACGTACCCCGGGCGCCAAGATAATAAAGATGCCAGAAAACTGTAACGAGTTTTTATTTATAAAAAAGTAAAAAAAAATTGTTTTTATTGATGAGGTATAAAATAAATTTACAATGAGGTTATAAAATAAATTTACTCAAAGTACAAGTAGAAACAGCAGCTTGGGTTGGCAGTTAAATACTTTGTTGTTTAAAGAAGTCATTTTAGTGTCAGAGCTCTCTAGCTAAGTTTTGCATTTTGTAAATTGCACGTCTCAAACGCTTTGACCTCATATTACTATACAAAGTTGGTTATTACTCTCAATTAAAAATTGTGAATAATAAGATTGTGAAAACAGTTACTTTAAGATTCTCATTTATCTGGTTGAAAGATCAAGAACCGTTAAAAAGTAAAGCTTGTGAAATAGAAGATCACATTATCGAAGATATTTTTTATTTTAAAAGATTAAAAGAGTCTTCATTTTTTACTTCTGAAAGCCAAATATACTCAAAATATCTGCAGCCTCTGTTTCAATCTATATGCGTTCTAATTTTATTTTTTAAGCGCAATGCTAACCTTTGTCGCAGAAGGTCAATGATCGTTAAGTTAATTAAAATCGATATAAAAAAAGATTGTAGTGTCACTATAGAACAGGAGCGTTTGTCGGACATACATGTTAAAAATAAATACAACTCCAGCGGCGGATTCAGGATATTTTGGTGCTTGAGTTAAATAACTTTTAGGTAAGTTCTAAATTAAAAACTTTTAAATGCTCATACTTAGGGACCATCGATAAAGGACGTCACCATTTTTTAGTCAATTTTTGACCCCCCCTCCCCCCTTATTGTCACCGGTTGTCCTTTTTCCCTATACCCCCCTGGAAAAGGACGTCATAAAATCCTGACCCCACTCCCTGCAATGATGTTTGAATCTGCTGCTACACCTTTAAATGAAATTAAAAATGTTCTCAAACATTATCTTCTCAAAAACACATGTTTACGCAGTTTTCCATGTTAATTAAACTAAAATAAAAAATTAATAAAGTGGACGTCCTTTTCTGACAACCTCCCCATCCCAACCTCCCCTTGTCCTTTTTTGTCCTTTTTAACTCGACCCCCTCCCCCCTATTTGGATGACGTCCTTTATGGATGGTCCCTTATGTCATTTAAAAATATTTTACCGAAAATTGCGTTGATTAGAGCCTGGGAACAAAAATACCCTAAATAGTAGGCGTCACCCGCCAAAATGATTTTTGAGGGGAAATGATTTTTCGAAAAAAATTAGTTACTTCCTCTAATAAAATTAAAATGTCTATCTATATTTAAAGTTTGATTAAAAAGTCATCTAGCGTTCAAAAGTTATAGTCATTTAATGTTTAGAGCCCCCTCAAAAGGGGGCTCTAAAAAGGGGTTGAAAATTTAAACTAGGTATAATTTTTAAACTACGTAATATTTTTCAAAAAAATTTAGAACCTTAACGGTATACCACCTAATTTAGGATATTAGAATTTATATTTAGAAAAACCGATTTCCCCCACATTTAGACCGATGATACCTACATTTTAGGGTTTTTTTAGTTCCCAGGCTCTAATCAGCACAATTTTTGGCAAATCATTCTTAAATTACTAAAGCATGAAAATACAAAAATTTGGAGTTTACAACTTACCTGATTTGCTCCTGAACTCTGTATACAATTCTGGATGCAACTCTGTCGTAAGATGGCATAATAATAACAATAACCTTTCCTAATAAAAAAGCAGGAAAAAAATGTTTTCAGTGTTAATTTTAACGAATCTGTTTATTAATCCTAATCAACGAATATGCTGCATAAATGCTATTAATCTAGATATGGTTCTTGAAAATATGGATGTAAATTAACAGTATTAAAAATAAAAAGGCATTAACTTTTATAATTGTACATGCGTTTAATTCAAAAAACTGCATGCTTATAGGGACGCTTAATTACTGCTATGTCCTGGGGGACATAAAAGCTTTTGGCGGCCCTAGATAAGATATACTTCTATATTAACCTATACATTATCATAACGTTAAAAATATGTAACGACTACTCTTTGGAATAAAATGGTTTTAAAACACTAAAAAACTAAAAGTAGTTATTTTATATTTTAAGGAAAACTTCATTTCACGAAATAAAAAAAATACTTTCAAAACTTTGTTTAAAAAAATGTTTTATGAATATAGTTATTATTTTTCAAGCTGGATTTATTTTTGTCTTTTAAGGTAAATAAATAATGGAAAGAAACAAAAAATGAATTAGTTTTACATTTGTACATAAAATAAAATACATTAAAAACATCCAGCTGATAAATACCTAGAACTTTTATTTCAACTAAGAGAGGGTTAGCTTAGTATATCTGTTTTCAAAACTGGTGATATGAGACAAACACGGATAAAAGAGTCTCTTGTTTAGATTTATGATCTTTATTGGCATCCAAGAAAAAAAATTTTATTAATTTAAATGGCAGTTGAAAAAAGTAAAATATGACTTAGTTAAACTGTATTTATTTAAAGCATTTTTAACTTTATACTTCTAACTACATACACCATTAACAGGTTTGTTGCACAAAAATATTCAACGTGTAATTCCCAGCCAAGGTTTTTATCTTTTTATTTGAATTTTTTTTAAAAAAATCAAGGACATGTCACTAGACAGTAATTTTTTTTGATGCTGGGTGAAACATAGTCCATTTTACTAATTCAATATACAATTTTGTTGCAAAAGAGATTAGTATAGTTGTCAAACATGACGATCATTAAATTTAAAGTTTTATGAAAATTAGTAATGTAAATGAGAAAGAGATTGGGTCCATACAAGTTTCATATTATGAATTGGATGGTATTACTATATGGACTGATATTACTACAAACTATTAAAAATTTGTTGAATAACAATTTATCCTTAAGTTGCGTTAAGACATTTCCTATTATTCCAAAACACTTAATTTTTCCAAAGGTCACAATTTAAAATTTAGTGATATGTTGTTCTTTTAATAAATTACGAAAACTCCAAACGTGTATTTTTCAAACAAATTTTAGGATTTTTCTAACAAATTTACTGAGGAGTGTTCATTAGTATTACTTTTAAACCTGAATTAATTATTAATTAGAGTATATTGTTTGAAGGTAAAAAACTACCAGACTCAGATTATTTAAAATACTGTCCATCGGCAGCTACAATCTTCTTCCATTTTTCTGGGTGAATGCGGATTCCACGCTAAAAAAGTCTTAGTCTTTTGAGGCAATCCAGTCTTCGACCCATTTTTAGTGTTGTCATAAGAATAAAATCGCTATTCAGCCAGACCATGTGTCATTGACCGGAACAAATGGTAATCGGAGGAGGCAATGTCTGGTGAATACGACAGCTGGGGTAGAACTTCCCATTTAAAGTTCAAATGAGAAGTCCTACCCCAGCTCGTTTTTTAATATTTTCAACATGGGGTTTTGCGTTGTTGAGTTTAGTTAAGTTATTTCAAAACTATTATTCATGAAGCAATAATGAAGCAGTCATGGAGCAATAATACTTTTTCAGTACGTTTTATTATAAATGATTCATTGCCTGGAAGAATTTTTAGTTCAAATTAGAAAAATTTATAATAAAAAGAATAATGTAAAATTTAGAAATTTGTTATCTGGTCATATGACTAAGATAACATGGGTAAGATGATTTATTATGCGTATCTAATTTTATAAAGTTTTAAAAGCTACTATCTACTTTAACTAAAGTAACACAAAATAAAAAGGTGCTGCACAAAAGTATTTCTTAAAATGTTACGCCCGAAGGACATCATCCATTAATGATCAAATTTATAACCAATACCGAGGTTGTTTTTTTGTAAGGAACGTCAGCTTTTATTCTATATAATTCTTATGAAATTATAAATAATTTTTAACTCGTTTTTCAATCGTCCTTGTATTAAATATAAAAAATCATTAAATAATTTTCTTGTATAAGAGTCTTTTAATTGTTAGTCTCTGGTAGTTGATTTGTATTTAGCATAATCATCTTGTATTTAACATAATTGTCTTGTACTTAACATATTTGTCTTGTACTTAGCATAATCGTCTGGTATTGCAAAAAACACGTTTGAAATGTTGTATAAGAATTATATTTCAGATTAAAAATTAATTTATTAAATCTATTGAAATTTAATGAAACGTTAGCCAAACATCTTTAGATTTTAAAATTAAAAAAGAGATTAGTGATTATAGTATATGGTGTATGTACATATATGTGTGCATATATATGTACATATATGTATGTGTTTATGTATATATGTATGTGTATATATATGTGTGTGTATGTGTATATGTATATATATATATATACGTGTGTGTACGTATGTATATATATTTGTGTATGAATGTGTGTATGTGTTTATATTTATATGTTTATATGCTTCTATATCTTATATATATTACTTATATATATTTGAGATGTTAGAGCATGGTTATTTTTAATTTGTTGGACTAAAGATTTTAATATTTATGTTGCAAAATAGTTTTTAACGAATGTTCTTCATGTAGTAATTTTCAGAAAAAATATTTTATTGAAAACTTACTAAAGCCGTGTGGGATTTAATGTTATAGTTAAAGAGGCTTTATGAAAAGATTGTGGTGACACCAGTCATCCGTATGTTTTTTGAACCCCTATCTGTTTTATATATATACTTTGTGTAATGTAAAAGTTTCATTGTAATTTTATTATATGGACAGCGAAATGTTAAAAAAAAAAATTGTATTTGAATATCCGCAATCAAAATGTTCTGATTAATTTCCAATAAATAAAACCCACATAGATTAAAGCTTAGCATAGAAAGTTTTTTGCATAGGTTGGGTAAGTAGGTAGAAGAGGAGGTATTGCCATTGTTACATTATCTGGAAAATCAAATATGGTAACCTTATACAGATAATGATTGAAAAAAATTTATGGTTTAACTATGACTCAAAAGCGCTGACAAGTTTAAGTTATACAAGTTTATCAAAAAAAATTAAAAAATTAAAAAAAAAATTAACTCAAGTCATAACATTTTTATAGTTTTACTGTTTTTAAGACGCTTACAGAAGTTCTTAAGGTCTTCTGGGAGCACCTTATCACAGGGGACCGCGAAAGAGCGTTTAACTAGGAAGTTTACGCCTCCTTTCTTAGCAATGTCATTTATTTTGCTTGAGTCAGCGTTTAACCTCGGACCATTTGGTTCTGAATTAAAACTTTAACTGCGCCACGGTTATTTTGACAAAGAAAAATTGATCAAGAGAAGTCTTAAGCATTACTAACTTGCAAGCTAAAAACGCTGTTGACATGATATGTTATCCTATAATACATTATGTTGGACCAATGTCATTAAACCAACGTAAGCGTACTAGCTGGGTATTCATTGGAAAGACTATGTCGTTAGGAAAATGTAGATATTAACTATTTAAAAATTTTTTTTATTATTATTATTTTGATGTCCAACTATTTAAACATAATTTTGTATATAAAAATACTTATAATATTTCTATATATAAATATTTAACACGAAAAACATTTTAAATAATAATAACGTTTAACTGAAACAATTTTAAAACTTCAAAATTCAATATTTAACAAGAATGTGAGTAATATATATATATATATATATATATATATATATATATATATATATATATATATATATATATATATATATATATATATATATATATATATATATATATATATATATATATATATATATATATATATATATATATATATATATATATATATATATATATATATATATATATATATATATATATATATATATATATATATATATATATATATACATATATATACAAATTGTTGTTTTAATAGGCAATCACTTAGAACAAAAATTTGCAACTGTTACTTCATCTACAAATAATAAACCAATATACAAACGTGAAGTCAGTTTTTTTGATAAAAATGCAAAACACAAAGGTTCAGATGTGATTAACAAAAAAAATCTGGTTCTTTTTCGTGACAGCAACAACAAAGTAATAGCTACATTAAGAGATCCACGCACATGGAACAGCGCTAATGTCACTCTATCAAAAATTGATGACTATAAACGACTACAGCAAGAACTTCGTAGTTTGGCAATCTTTAAAGATACAATTAGCTTTCCGATGGTGAAAAAGAAAGGTTTTTAATATTTTTTAATAATATATAAAAAGTATAAAAACGAAAAACAAAGCATGCTTTTTATTTACACATCCAACAGCATACACATGTTCAATCTAAATCATTTGTACCCAAATTTCTTACCGGGCTATTGGTAAAGCATTTTGACGCAATAAATAGAAGTGGATCAATAAACATTTTTAATGGGCTAGTAGTTTAAATAGTGTATATTTTGTATTCTTTTGAAAAAACTTTAAAGTAATTTAGATCATACTTACTTATTTACTTATTTGTTGTAGTAAAAAGTTGTTCATAGGTTTACAACAATCAGTTATAACCAGTAACAATCAGTTATAACCAGTTATAACCAGTAATAACCAGTTAGTCTTATAAGAAAAAAAATTAGAAAAAGTAATAACCTAGTTACTGATTTATTAATTGTATTTGTTGTTAGTAAATGGTTGAAATTGTAAATTGTCTTTTTTTATTTAAATCCTAATATTTAAATAACAGTATTTGCAAAGTATAATATTGTGACATTTTTTTAATTTTCTTATTTTAAATCGAATTAAAAAACAATATACATAAATCTGGTTTACCATCTCCAAGTGTAAAACAAGAAAGATAGACTCATTTTCAAAGATAGATTTTCATTTTTCAATATTTCTTTTTTTTTTTTTAGTAGTATGATAATACAGTTAACTCTCGATATCTCGAATACTTGGTATCTCGAACTTTCCTATACATCGATGTCTCAAACCTTAATAGCTTAAACCGTTTTGGTATGTTAAACAATAATTTTGGTCCCCAGGGCAATTTTCACTTGCTATCTCGAACTTTTTTAAAAAAAAATTTAAACAAATATTTTGATACCATTCCCTATTTTAAAACTTGAACTTTCGAAACATATTCCCCGATTTTAGAATTCCATTTTTTATAAATAAAAATTTTGAAAAATATTTTTTTAAAGATTTATTGATTGCTTCTATCAAACACAAAACATGTCGCATGTTAAACAAAGACTTGAAAACAAACTTATAATAAAAAAATGTTAGGCTATACCTAGAAAATGGATTTTTTGGCTAACTATTTATCTTAGGAAGACATAGCCAATTGTATGAGGTTCTAAAGAACACAAAATCAATTTGAGTTTAGAAAAAAACAAATTATTGACCACGCTAAAAAAATGGCATAAAAACGGAAGGAAGCTTTGTACTGGTAATTTTAAAAGCGCTGACATGGTCACGCGGTTTGTCGCAAAATGAAATCAGTAAGTACCAATTGATGGTGTCATACTAAAAGTAAAGGCAATGAATTTTGAAAATATCTGATTGTTTTGTTGTTTTTTTTAATTGGAAAGAAGATTCATTTTTTATCACAAGGAAAATGTTTCGGGGGAAAAATTGTACACTAAAACTAACAGGCGGAGCGGCAGGATGTTCAACGGAAAAAAAATTATCTATTATGGTAACTATCAAATCTAAAACACCACGACGTTTTAAGCAATTATGTTTCTGTATATTGAGACTGACTACAAAAACAAACCTGAAATTTCTTTATCCTTTAAGTAATGAATGATCTTACTCGTTATTAAAATGTAAAAAAGTTTTCAATTGTTTTAAAAATATGGTGAATGCTGATGACGTTGATGATTTTTTGATGATTGGCAGATGAGCTTGACCGTTTGAGAGAATTAAATCTACCGTACCATGTAAGAAGAGCTATCATTAAATTCTTTCATTAGTTCAGATTGCGATGTAATAACCACCTGTTCATCTGTTACTGATGCTGAATTTATTGCTCAGATTTTAAACCCTTATTTAGAATTCGTGGCCTGAATTTTAGACCCCAATTTAGGAAATAGTGGTAAAAAGTTTTTGGATAACGCTAATAAAGGTTTAAACGTGTAAACTCCATCATGCGCATATGTTGTTTTATTTATTTTTTTAAAATTAAAAACTGTTTTTAAAACGCTTCAAAATGCTTTGCTACTCAGTTTTTTATTTTATTTTGTTTGTCTTTTGATAAAACTTACAATAAAAAAGATCGTATATAATAAATGGTCGAAGCAAGAAGGCAAGAAAAAGACATACATTGTCAATTATATTGTCGCCCTCAGGTAAAAATTAAAAAGTAAAATACAATATAGTTCAACACAGTTTTTACAAATAGTTAAATGTAAAATAAGATTTTTTAAATAAGTAATAGCATATAGTTTAGAAAATAGGTTCCGGATCGAAGTAACAAGACTTTTGATTACAAGTAAAGAGAGAGTTTTAAATCAAAATATTTACTTTTACTGAATTAAAGAAAAATTGATTTCGCTCCTGTTTATTATGATATCGTTTTCTGTTTCAAAAGTAGTTTGTTTGTTTACTTTTTGTTATATTTACTTCAAAATAATATCATTGGGTTTTTTTTTTCAAATCTATTATTTTTTTTGGTTTTGTTAAAATCGAGTTTGCAGAAAACCGTTTCAACAAACTTATAAAGATATATATTATAAAGATATATATTCTAGATATATATTCTGGTAATACGAAAAATAAAAAAGCTCCAAATATAAACTACTATATAACAAAGTGGATTATGAGAAATTAAATGATTATTTTAACAAAATTTGATTATTCCTACAAGATTTGATTATTAATTTATAAGTATGGATGCAATTTATTTTTTACTAGGTCAAAATGAGTAGCAAAATGAGATTGAAGTACCCTCTTTGGATGCTCCATAAAAAAAATATTTTAAATGCATCGTGTAAGGATACACGATGCATTTAAAAGCATGTCTAAAAGAAAGTGCGAATTTTGGTTTTCGTGGCCCAATTAAAAAATAAAAAAATTATATAATTACTCTTTAGTTACAGCATGCAAAGATTTGAATTAGAGATTAAAAAGGTGAAACAAAGTACTCAAGATTTCGAATGAAAATTCAAAAGGAAAAATAAAGTTCTCTAAATGTATTCTAAATAAAGTTTTAAAAACGTGTTATAAATTGCTTTGCAATGCCTTTATAATATTATTTTAACAAGTCTTACGAATCAAGAGTTGTTTCGAACCTTTGAAAAAAAAGCAAATATTACACCCCCAATTAAAAAACACTTGGACCAAATTTTTTTCCAATTTCACTGACTGTAATTATTTAAAATTATCTGTGAAATTTTTCTCAAAAATATCCGGAATTTTTAAAATTTTTAAGCTGCTTATATTATCTTATATGGTTTATATACTTTTTTTAAATTCGTTTCTTTGTTTCAAAAATATTCTAAAAATATAAAATAGTAAAGACCCACAAGCAAAAAATACACATTTTTTAGTCAAATTTATAATTAAGTTTATTAATTTAAGAATCATTTTTTAATAAAATCAACAAAACGCTCAAGTTGTTATGTATAATTTTTACGTATAATGCTTTTGTGGAACAACAAAAAGTAGATGTTTTAAATTAGCCTAGTTAACCTGTTTTTTGAGCTTGTGTATAACATATTTCTAGCTTTTACTTGTCTCAACTACGATGTAAAATATTCACACAAAATAATTTTTTTAGATTAACAATTTTTATTGTGCATTTATTTTAGAGTGTTTTAAAGAAACAAAAAATTATGTTATTAACATAAAAATTTTCTTTTGAAAAAAATATAGGAAGTTTTTTTATGTGTAAAGATTGCATTTAAAATATCTTTATAAAAACTCGTGTTATAAATGTAATAACTATGTTAGATCATAATAATTTCTTTTAAAATTACATTAGAAAACACATGACATTAGAAAACACATTCCATCTAAATATTCAGTAAAATATTAATAAATTAATTTGCTTAGTATAATATTTATGAAACCCATATACACACACAAATTGCCCACTTGGCAGGATTGGCTGAAAAATACGGTATACATTTAAACCATTTTAAAGTAAAGTAGGGGAAACTATGGTTTAATGGAGTACTTAAAGAAAAGTCATCAAAAAACAACCAAAAATAATTAAAATCAAAACAATTTTTGTTTTAAACAACAAGAGACAACATAAACTGACATAAAATGACAAGAGACAAAATGGGGTATACAATGTAACAATAACATATGTTTTAGAATTTATTCAATGCTTAGACATAGTTCACAAATAAAGTTTGGCCTTTTATCTTTTTCTTCTAAACCAGCACAAGAGTAATATGCCCAGCTGAGGAAATCATTACCACAAATCCAACTTTCAACACTAGTAGAGTAATTTTCCTGACAGTAGAGACATGAACTTCCTCTAAATTTTTGACTCTTTTCTTCTTTTTAAATACAGTGTTTTGTCCATCTACTTCAGCTTTTTTTTTTTTTTATGCATAACCATTTTTGTTAGTCATTTTGAGCCTTTTTCCTTTTTTTGGAAGGATTTGGCTCGTTTTTACTCAGGGTGTCTAATAGTGAGGCTCTATATGGAGAAGAGGTTAGGATTGCAGTTTTTCCTCTCTGCCTTGATGGTCTTCTTGGCAGTGACTGCTTTGGTATTGGAATAATAAGACTTGGAGATACATTTTGAAATGATGTGGTATTAACATTGCTCGTAGAAATGATTAAAATGCTGGAAGACGTGGATATTATGCCGGTAAAATTAGATGATTGGCTTGTAGAAGCAATTTTGTGGAAGTTAGAAACATTCATATTGCTGTTAAAAGCAGATATTTGGATTGCGGGTAACATTTGATGACAGAAGCACAGAGGTTGCTAGTAACAGCAATGTCACATGTACCAGCCACAGGATTTGTTTCAATGAAACAACTTTTCTTAGAAAAAACTTTTCTATTAACTGGCTATATGCTAGCTTTTAATAGCCATAAATAGAATTTGTCATTGTTGCAGCTTCCAGGGAGGGTGAGCCAAAAAGTGGAGCTATTTGAAATTGAGTGACCACGCGTTCAGGAGTTTTTTTATAATTTTTTATGATATTGTGGTCATAGTAAGCGCTAAGTGGCTTCATTAACGCCAAACCCAAGGGCTGCAGTCAATGTGTGCAATGAGAAGGCAAACACA